TTTTTTTTTTTTTTTTTTTTTTTTTTCCCTCTAACTTCAGGTTTCCGAGAAAGCGCTTTCGCCTACGCCATCGCCGCAGCCGGGGTGGTACACGCGGTATCTAACGCGTGCGCCCTGGGCAAACTGCGGGCCTGCGGCTGCGATGCATCCCGGCGTGGGGACGAGGAGGCCTTCCGTCGGAAGCTGCATCGATTGCAGCTAGATGCGCTTCAGCGCGGTAAGGGCCTGAGCCACGGTGTTCCGGAACACCCCGCCCTGCCCCCTGCCAGTCCGGACCTGCAGGACTCCTGGGAATGGGGCGGCTGCAGCCCCGATGTAGGCTTCGGGGAACGCTTCTCTAAGGACTTTCTGGACTCCCGGGAGCCTCACAGAGACATCCACGCTCGCATGAGGCTGCACAACAACCGAGTTGGGAGGCAGGTGAGAGCCCCTGCCCCTAGGCCCGCTGCAAAGTCCTTGGCCTTGGACCTGCCCCTCCCCCAAGCTACCTCTTCCTTGGCCCAAACTCCTCTGTCAACTCAGCAAACTATTCATTGTCCTCTGCTAATTCAGTCAACAAGCGTGTTTTGAAAATTTACTATGCGCTGGGAGTAGGCCTGTATTAGAGAGGCCAACTGACCCTTGCCAACGATTTCCCCAACCCCAGCCTGCTTCTCCTACTTTCTTCAGTGATCTGGACTGGAGTGGCCAGCAGGGAGGGATCTAGGCCTGGGTCATCACCCGGTTCCCTTTACAGAGTCAGAAGGTGGAACTGGACAATCATCAGATACCCCCAGCTCTAAAGTTCTGTGGCGCCTTGCCTCCTTGATCTCATGGCCCCATCTGTTCCCACCCAGAAGGAGAGATTCCTGCAAAGTGAAAGGACTAAGTGATGTTCCCAGGGGCCACCAAAGACCTTTCTTGAATGCTCACAGAACCTCAAAGGTCACAACATTAATTTAAAAAAATTAAATACATACACGAATAAAAAAGGAGAAGGGGAAGGAAGGAAAGAAATAGCCTATATTTGTTTAGTGCCTAATGTGTTAGGTACTGTTCTGACTACTTTATTACACATCAACCTGTAATCCTTACAGCTACCTGAGATGTGAGGTTATTAACCTCGAATTCAGCTACGGAAACTGAGGCAGAGATGACTCAGAGGCTTGCTAGAGATGATGCAATCAGTAAGAGAGTGTAGAGGCGGCAGAATCTATCCCCAGGCAGTGGAGCTCTGAGCCTGTACTCCTTTGTTGTATGGAGTGGGGTCTACACTGCTGCCTCATGATTCCTAGTGGTAGCTCTGCACTCTTCTTTCCTGGCAACTGATTCCAGCCCTAGCCCTTCTCTTGACCCTGCCCAGCCTGCTCAGTTCTAGATCCATGTTTCCTCTACTCTTCCTCCCTTTGAGCTCTTAGCCTACTCCAGTGCTGCCTTCACAAGGACTCCCAGCTGATTCAGCAATCCCCACCTCGACTTACAGGCAGGGCAAATTGAGGTACACCCACCCCCAGCTCTCTACCAGCTCCCTCCCAGCTCTGGCTTATACGTGTGTGCAGGTCTTTTCCCAAGCTTCAATAGTATCCCAGCCTTACCGACAGTGCCTCCTCCTCTCCTCGTTAAACTGGTTAATTAATGGCTGCTCCCTGTGGGAAGCAGATGTTCTCGAGCTGTTGGCCTGGGGAGGCACTGGGCTGGTTCCCAAGTGGTGCTGACACCACGGGCTGCACAAGAAAGCTACACAGCCTTTTAAGACCTAGAAGGGCAGAGTCCCTCTCTTATGGTCTTCCTGCCTGGCTTCAGGGCCCCAGATCCTTGCTATCCTTGTCTGAAAGTGTGTTTTTCTGAATGGCATAGAGAAAAGGTGGATGTGGCCCACTTCCCGCCGGGTGTCTGGTGAGGATAACACCACCAGGTTCTTTGGGAGAAGACTATAGAACAGGTTGAGAGCTGGGAGGGGGCGTAGATTGTGTTCCCATAGCGGCCTCCCTTGAAGGCCTGGGCACCTCTCTCCATTTCGTGGGGAGAGAGCCTAGCTCTCTCTGGGTTGTGTTCTGCCTTCGGGTAGAGCTTTGGCACCTGTTGGCACTCAGCTCAGGGTAGAATAAGTCCCGGTGGGCATATTGAGAGGGGGTGATCTCCTTAGGCCGAAGATCCGGAAAGGCTGGGGTCGGGTCTCAGTGTTGGAACGGAGTTTTCTCAGCCTGAAGGGAGACTTCGGTCATGGTTGTCAGTGGGGGGTTGCACGCTCCTCCCCTCCTGGTCCCTACCCCGACTGTGGAAGGAGAGGGAATTTCCCTAAATATCTGGGATCCCCCCTCAGGAAGCAAGAAACCCCATCCCCAAGGGCCCCCTGCAGCTGCTGGGAAGGCCAGCAGGAAGGAGGGAATTCCCCCAGGGCCTGGGAGGCAGCAGAACTGCAGCGGGCGGAGGGGCGCTGACTGCTTGGCTCAGGAGCTTCCGGCCTCAGTGTTTGTCTCTGTTCAATGGGAGCTGGTTTCAAAATCCTAGGAGATTCTCTCAGACCAGTCCCAGGGGAGGGAGGAGGGCAGAGGGCTGGCCACCGGTGTCACCCCTTACGCTGCCTTCCTCCGCAGGCGGTGATGGAGAACATGAGGCGAAAGTGCAAGTGCCACGGCACGTCGGGCAGCTGCCAGCTGAAGACCTGCTGGCAGGTGACGCCCGAGTTCCGCGCCGTGGGGGCGCTGCTGCGCAGCCGCTTCCACCGCGCCACGCTCATC